ATGGGAAAAATAAAAATGAAAATGACGAGGAAATCAGGAGGATGGTCCGTGCCTACAAAGAGCAGAGCTCTCCGGCCTTACCAGGGAGTCCACCTGACCACTGCTGACAAYGACACCGGATTCACCCAAGAAGCTCAAAGGAATAGCGCTTGGCCATGAAAACCAGAGATTCACTTTAGGTGACCAGGTTGGACCTTTCAAAATGCCAAATGAGTCTACYTTTTCTTCACTTAAATCAGCTTTCCTAGACAGTGTCTTACACTGAGATGTAGTCGGTTTCTTTGAATTTCAGAAGGCGAGTTCAGAATAGGCAGAATCAGTGACATAATCATGACAGGCTTCTGAAATATAAAAGGAAAAAAAATGGTAATTCAATAAATTTAAGTTATGTGAACAGAGGGACTTGAAAAGGAAATCCTATTTCTAGGAGAGAGATGGCCTGTTAGAACCAAGCATTAAGTGGTTTYTCCTGGACTGTGTCAAATTATCTATCTATCTATTTAGTACTGAGGATTGAACCCAGGGTTACTTTTCCACCGAGCCACATCCCCAGTGCTTTTTTACTTTTTGAGACAGGGTCTTGCTAAGTTGCTGAAAGTCTTGTTAAATTACTGAGGCTAACCCCAAACTTGTGATCCTCCTGCCTCAACCTCCTGAGTCTCTGGAACTACAAACCTTTGTCACTGTGGCTGGCCAAACAACAACTTTCCTTCTCCTTCTCCTTCTGATTGAACTCAGGGACACTCAAAGACAGGGTCTCACTGAGTTGCTTGCTGAGGTTGGCTTTGAGCTTGTGATCCTCCTGCCTCAGCCTCCCAAGCCACTGAGATGACAGGCGTATGCTACTGGGCCCGGCTAAAACATTTATTCTTGACAATATTGTATAGTGACCCTGCATCCCCCTCTGGGGACTTGTTACAGGACATCTCCCACSCCACGTTTTTTCTTTCCCACTGCTCCATCTCCTGATGAGATTTGTCCGGAGCAGTTTTCTTGGGTGCTGTTGGCTTCCGGAGCTGTGCCTGTGGCCATAGGGACCCTGATCTGTCAACAGCAGCTCTTGACACCCCCCACCCCATCCCGTGGCTCACCTGGCTTCCCTGGCGCCACCTCCCCGAACTCTGGGGTGGCGTAGTGGATCTCCTGGGTGTGTTCTGTCCCTGGGAAAAAGACAAGGCGCGGGAGGGAGTTACTGGGCCAGTTCTTTGAATCTCTGGCCACATGGGGGCAGTGGCGTCGAGGCCGTGGACTTCGCAGAAAGCACTTGCCGTCGGGGACTGTGGGATTTAAGTGTTCTCTCCACAAAAATGATCGCCTTGATGCAGTGCTCAGGCTTATCCGCTGCATTTAGCCTTGTCGTGCAGCTCGGGGGTGGAGCCAGCGTGTGGCCCGGGGTTCCCTCTCCAGTCCTGCAAATAGCCCCGAACCAAGTAACGTAGGTGTCTTTCAAAACGACACGTGGTGCATGATAAATATATGCGATTTTTATTTATCAATTTAAATAAATAAAAATGTACATCTCTTAAAAAAAAAAGGGAAAGAAAGAAAAGAAAAGGTAGCTAGGCATAGTGGCCTGTAATCCCAGCTGCTGCGGAGGCTGAGGCAGGAAGATTGAAAGTTTGAGGTCAGCCTCAGCAGCTTAGTGAGACCCTAAGCAATTTATGGATAATCTCAAAAAATAAAAAGGGCTGGGATGTAACTCAGGGGTAAAGCACTCCCGGGTTTGATCCTCAGTGCCGATAAATAAATAAATAGATAAATAAATCATCATGGAGGACTTTGGAACACAGTGTGAATCATTCTGAACTTATAAAAAAAAAAATCAAGATATCTTAAAGTGGAAAAAAAAAATCCAAGGCATAGACTGTCACCTGCCTGTTATGTCTCATGACTAAACAGAGTCACTCTAGGTGAACTGAGCTGGCATGAAATAATCACATAGAGACAGAGAAAGACCTTTTTTTTGGGGGGGGGGGGGAGTGTCCTGTGATGGCTCCTCTGACCTTAGGGGTCCATGGAAAGAGGGAGGAGCACCTGCTGAACCCTTTTATTGGGAAGATGCCATTCAAATGAGGCAAGGGTAGGATTACCAGGGAACAAGGGTAGGATTACAGGTGAGTGTAGCTCAACCCCTCTGGGTGCCGCCTACTCCTAGGGCCACTCCAGGGCCACGCCTTATTATCCTTGGGAGGCTACAGTGATCTTTCAGATCCCTGTGGTGCATCAGGACTTCAAGGTGCACGCATTTGGAGTGGCTCCCCACAATTGCCATTTGTCCAGATGCGAGCAGAGCCAGAGGATCTCTGTGGGAGGAATTCAACCCTGACCCTGGCCCTGGGGTGAGACAGGAAGGGGATGCTGTGTTCTGTTCCTTTGGCTCCATTTTTACCCCATGTGTCTCAAAGGTCTTTAAAATCAAAAAGAACCCCAAACCAACCGGCCAAACCTACCAAAGCACTCAACAAAGTCCTCTCACCTGCTAGGGTTTCACAGATGTTGACATACAATTCACCTTCCATGGATATGTCTCCAGGGTCCTTGGGCACGTTCTCTCTCGTAGCCTTTTCTACATAAATGGGTACAGAATCATTCAATTGAACCAATTTGGTCACATTTTCCCTTCTCCTCGTCTCCTCTGCMGAGGAGCAGATTTTCCCAAACTTCCAAAAGAAAGAGCAGCTAYTCTAGTGGCCTAAACTGGTGGCTGATGAGGGGAAATCCTACATTCATCCAAAGCACCTGCTCCTCCAAGCTGGGGCCTTTAGTGAGGTACTCCGCCTACCCTGGTCCTGAGAGGAACATTCTTTGACTAGGAGATTCCATTAGAGGCTGGGCACAGTGGTGCACACCTGTGATCCCAGTGACTCCAGAGGCTGAGGCAGGAGGATTGCAAGTTCAAATCCAGCATCAGCAACTAAGCAATACCCGATCTCAAAATAAAATATAAAAAAGGCCAGTGATGTGCCTCTGTGGTTAAGAGCCCCTAGGTTTAACCCCTGGTATCAAAAGAGAGAAAAGGCTAGTCACATGTTTTTCCTTCCTGAAGGGAACAGTCATAAGAAGTTTTGGCACCTCTTCAAGAGATAGTCAGTGATAATGAAGAATATTCATGCCACTTTTACAAGAATCTGGGTTTTCACAGGAAAGTAAGATGTGCTTTCGAAGTATATGAGATGTAGCTGGGCATGGTGGCACACACCTRTAATCCCAGTGACCAGGGAGGCTAAGACAGGTGGATTGCAGGTTCGAGGCCAGCCTCAGCAACATAGCAAGGACCTTAGCAACTTAATGAGACCTTGTCACGAAATAAAAAATAAAAAGGGCTCAGTGGTACCAGATTCAATCCCCAGTACTAAAAAAAAAAAAAAAAAAAAGTATGAGATATATAAGTTAGGACATTTAATTTCAATTTGGCTTGTTTGTTTTGGGTCCTGGGATTGAACCCAAAGCCTTGTGTGTCCTGACCACATGCTCTACGGCTGAGTGACACCCGAGCCTATTATCAGCTGAGTTCCTGGCCCTCCGGAGTGGAGGCTGGCACTGGGGCCTACCATTTATCATTTAGTTCTCTCAACCAGCATATAGTTCTGTCAGCATCTGTCCCGCCCCATTCTACAGGCCAGAATACTGGGGCTCCGAGGCAAAGGAACCTGCCCAGCACCGCCTCAGCTTGCTGGTTTGTGTGTCGAGACACCAAGTGTCTTGTGCAATCCTGGATATCTCCCGTGTGTGTGCTGAATGAAAAGCCCACTTGGAAAGCTTAGCCAGAGGACGTCCAAAAGAGGAGACTAGCAAAAAACAGTAACCGAGGCTTCTGCTGGGGACCTCAGTGAGTTTTCTGCCACATGCAGCTTGAGGTGGGGAAGAGGGATGCTGTTCTCGTGGGTCTTCACGCCGGAGCTGCCTCTAGTGAGGAGGAGCTCTCGGGCACAGAGCTCTGCCAGGGAGGATACTTCAAGGCGAGGCCCTGCCTGGAGGAGGCTGGCACCCAGGACCAGYTCCATGCTGGGCAGGGCCCTGTGCAAGACGGACAGGAGGGTCTCCTGTTCAAAATACTAGTGTTCCTACAGTAGCCAGGGGGCGGAAGCCACCCAGGCCACCCAGGAGGAATGACTGGATGGAGAGAACGTGGGGCGTGCATACAAGGAAGTATTTTTCTGCCCTAACAAGGGAGGAAATGCTGCTACACGCTGCCACATGCGCGAACCTTGAGGCCGTGACATGATRTGAAATCAGCCAGATGCCAGAGGGTGGCTTCTGCGTGAGGCCACTCAGGAGGCTCCTAGAGCAGCACCTTTACAGAAACAGAAAATGGGCTAAGACGGCCAGGAACCAGGCGAGGACAGGATGGCGCATGAATGTGGGGACAGCTGCCCAGCAATGTGACTGTGTTCCACGTCATGGAACTGTCTGGTTAAAGTGGGGGCTGGGGAGGCAGCTGGGTGGTAGAGCCCTGGCCCGGCAGGTGCACGGCCYTGGGGTCCAGTCCAGCAGCCAAAATGGACCAACAACAAAAATGTACAAGAGTTAAACTGGCAAATATCAGGTTATAKATATTCTTTAGAAAGGAAGTTATTCGGAATTGTGAGTTGGTGGCAGCAGAGTTTTAGGGACCACACAAGCTACAGGTCYGGTGGCCAGCTCTGTCTGCAACCTACAGCTGGGGGGGCCTTCCTGGGCCAGTGGGCAAGACCCCCAAGTGGGGGCCATTTGGGAATTCTCATTCATCCTCCCCTTCCTCTTCTTTCCAATCCACTGTTTGGGAATTATTGTTGTTTGGGGAGCCTTTTGTTTTTGAGGTGCAGGGGTGGAATCCAGGGCCTCAGGCCTGCTAGACAAGGGTGTGACCCCTGAGCCATCCCCAGCCCCTCCGCATTCCAGTCTGACCCCCTTGCCCTCCCCCTTACTCTCTGCCCTGCTGTCTATATCCCAAACCCAGGGGAAACAACGGTCAAGAACTTACTTGCTCTGTATTTTCGTTGTAGCCAAAAAACCGGAACCAGGATTATGGCCAGGAGCACCAGCAGTGACCCCAGAAGCAGCAGAGGCAGCACTGGGCAGATAGGACAGCGGTCTCCCTCTGGAAGAAGACAGCAATCCCTGGTCAGTGCATGGCCGTCTTCCCCAGTGACACTGACCTGGCAGGAAGGGCCATCACCCTGCCTCCCAAGACAACCGACCTACTGTGCAGCTGATCCCTGAGGCACAGTAGGCACCTGTGACCCACCAGTTAACTCMTTCGTCCTTTTATGTCAGAGAGCAATTCCATCAGAGCTTGTGTGGACCCTACCAGAGGGACCTTGCCTTTGGAAGTAGGTGGCCAAAGTGAGAAGTGGGTGGGTTCAGAGGCAGCTGCAGTGTCTGGAAGCAAATCCAGAGCCGGTTGAAAGAACTCAGGAAAAGAAAGTACAATTATGCAAGCCATTGAAAAAGATGCAGTGTGGTGTTGTTATATATGAGTTTGTTTCTGCTGGATCAATCTGAAGGTTAGCACTGGGGAAGTCACCAGGTCTAGAAGGATGAAAGGACGTGTTAAAGACTAAGCAGATTGAGTTCACTGTCTTAGCCCACTTTTGAGTTGCTATAACAAAATGCCTGACACCAGGTAATGTACTAAAAAGAGAGGTTTATCTGGCTCTTGATTATGATGGAAAGTCCAAACAGTGTGGTGTCTGGTCCCCTCCTGGCTGCATCGCAACAAGAGTCAGGGGTTTACCAAGCCAGAAGTTGGYGTGTGTCTCTGCTTTGAAGAACTAGGGTCTGAGCCTGCCTTTTACAGAGTTTTCAATCTGCTTATCGTTGATAGTGAGTATAGTTTTGTCAATGGTTCAGCTCTCAGTGTAAGGTTGAGAGTGGCTTGTGTTCTCCATCCAAAAATATTCTATCTGTATTTTCATTTATAGAATTCAGCTGCACAGTTATCTTCTACTTCCTCTGCAAAGCAGAAGTAACCTTGCTAAATAGATTCGAGGGAAACTCTCAACAGGAAATACAGAGATCTGGTGTGCTCTGACAAATCCTGCTCTATCTTGTGGGAGAATCAAACTGTTAAAAGAGCTGGGGCGAGGGCTATAGTTCAGTGGCAGAGGGCATGCCCAGCACGTGTGAGGCACTGGGTTCCATCCTCAGCACCACATAAAATTAAATAAATAGATCAAATAAAGGTATTGTGTCCATCTACAACGTGTGTGTGTGGGGGGGGGGGGCACTGGGGATATAGCTCAGTGGTAAAGCACCCTGGGTTCAATCCCTTGTGCCACGTTTAAAAAACCCTTTTCTTCCATTTTCTCCCATAGCAGAGGACAGTCCCCTCTTCATTGGGCCGTCAAGCTACACTCCTGGAAGTTACTCTACCCCTTTCCTTTGCAGCCACCGACACGGCTTGTGATTCATTTGTTTGAGTAGTTGTGTTTGTCTCCCCTACTAGACCAGAAGCTCCGGCAGGCCAGGAACCAGATGCGCTAGGCAATCAGTGATGGAGGAATTTGTGTTTATGCCTCAGACCTTCACCTTTTACTGAGTTGGGGACACAACCATGTCTTAGGTATCACTGAAATCCCAGGAGCACAACTGCGTGCTCAGAGTAGGCACTTAATAAGTATCTATTGATAAGACTTAATTAAAGATGGCATTGATTGATTGATTGATTGACAATGGGAATTGAACCCAGGGCTCTCTATCATTGACCTACATCTCTAACCCTTTTAATTTTTTTTATTTTGAGACAGGGTCTTGCTAGGTTGTTCAGGGCCTCACTAAGTTGCTAAGGCTGGCCTTGAACTTGGGATCCTCCTGCCTCAACCTCCTGAGTTGTTGAGATTACAGGACCACCATGCCTGGAATAGTTTCAGAATTTACCAAAATAGTTCTACAGGACAGTGTAACAAATTGAAGAAAAGTTGTGTACAGAGAACATACGTACTCATGGGTTTACTGCCTTTACCTTATGCACTGTGTGTTTATTGGGATTTTCTCCCTGTTATGCATATTCCTTTTAAAAATATGATTTCTACTCTATTTTGCCCTGATTCCAAGACTTCTTAATTGARTCTTCAGAAAGAAGGAGGTTTTATCCATAGCTGGTAATCATAAAGTAAAGCCTCTGAGATCAATGACGTTTGCCTGAAGATCTAAGACTATTATCTGAAATAGTTCAAGGTCTCTGAAGGAGAAAGTGAAGTAGGATTATTAAGAATAAAGACCTGTTGGGCGAGGTGGCGCACGCCTGTAATCCCAGCTGCTTAGGAGGCTGAGACAGGAGGATTGCAAGTTAAAAGTCAGCCTCAGCAAAAGCAAAGCACTAAGCAACTCAATGAGACCCTGTCTCTAAATAAAATACAAAATAGGGCTGGGGGTGTGGCTCAGTGGTCTAGTGCCCCTCGGTTTTTTTTTTTTTTTGGCACTCCCCCCAACAAAAAAAATAATAAAGACCTCAGCAGCAAATAAGCCTCTCAAATGTTGGCCAGGGGCATAAAAGCCCTTGGTGGAACAAAAGCGAATCCCATGAATTGCAGAACCTCCAAGTGGCAGGTGACTGGCTTACCACTGACKGTGAAGTTGAACGGGTTACTGTAGGTCGAACAGTTGAAGAGCACGGCTTTGCATTTGTAGGTGCCCAAATCCTCGGCTGTGGAGATGGTCACGTTAAAAGTCACGGCTTCCCCTTTTCCTGTCCGGTTGCCCAGCAATTTCTTATTCAAAAACAATAAATATTGGATCTCCAGTGACTCATTCTTGTGGGAGCAAAGCAGAGACGCATTTTGACCCAATACGACCACACTCGTATTTGAGTTCAAATTTGGAGAAGAAAATCCTGGAAAACAAAAATCACACGAAGAAAATGTGCTTATTAAAATCCCTGGATACAAACTCAGTGGGCCTCTGGCCATGTTTTATGAGTTGAGTGATGGGGACATTCGGGCCCAGGCCAGCTTTCCTGAGGCGGGTATTCTTGGCCTGCAGAGGCAGACTGTGTGCATGGAGCAGCTCGGTGTGTCCAGGGCCTCCTCACAGTGACCGGCAGGTGGACGTGAGCAGCTGAACTCTTTTGTGGTAGCCCCCTCTTCCCCCGGAGGATCTGCAAAGAGGTTCCATGAGGATTGTCCCTGCTGACCTGGAAGTCATGTCTGATGGCTTGTTTGGTCCAAGAGTTATTTTCATCTTGGAAAATTTCAAACATAATAATACCAAAGACGGCATCACAGACCCTCGTGTACCCGCCATCCAGCTTCAACAGTGAACAAATGACCCTCCCCACTGTCTGCCCCCTCCTCGCCTGTGATTATTGGGGTTTGAGTATGSTTTGGCCCCTTCCAAGCTCAGGCTGGGAAGTAAGAGAGGGGAAACAATCRAACTGTGGTGTGTGGAGGCGGGTCCTTCGGAAGGTGGTTAGGATTGGATAAGGTCAGCAGGTGGGGCCTGAATTCAGGTGGCTCTG